GGACGTACGAACACAAATATGTGTGTATAGTTTAAATTGTTCAATTGTTAATTATGATTATTTTCCATCTCTGCTTATTACTGGTATGCCCCTGCATTTAGGTTAATAAAATTTTAGTGAACATATCTTAATGTCTTTATGCCATCTGATTATTTCACAATGTAGCTAGCCAGGACTATTATAGTTTTCTGCATCGGATGCGATTGTTTCTGATATAATTCGAACACTGAAATTACAAATTTCGAATTGTAATTTAATGCAATTTAGGGGACTCACAATTCGGTGTTAGGCGTCGTAATGTCTTAGAGTCTTAAAATGTTTCGATCTAAAGTAACGGTTAAAAGTGTTTTGAAATATTCGTTGGGTATAATAAGAGCCAATAATATATTTCCTACAAGTTTAAAAACATTTTGGAAATGTTACAAAACGCCTAAAGAGGTTTTAGCCGTTATTTAACGTTTAAAAATTTTAAGACTTAAGAATCCTCTGCATGTGTTTGAACATTTAACTATGTATATCGTTGCTTATTTGGGTAAAATTAAAATATATTTCACTGTTCAATATTGGAGTTGGTGTGAAACAAAATTTACGATTTATTGTTAGTATGCAAATGAGAACAACAATTATCAACTTATTAGAGCATTAGCCTTATTTCTTTTAAAAAAAACAGACATTTTGCTTGGTTAAATTTCAATTCTAAGAAGAAAATGTTCTTAACAGGCTAACCTAATATTCGCGGCTTGCGTTTTGGTACGCATGCCGTCGAATTTGTTTTTTTGCGTCACCCGAAATTGGCTTGCGTGCGTTTGCATTTGATCTCATTGAGCGAAACGTCAAATCAAAATGTCACGCAGAACAAAAATTGGAAATTGAGTTAGCTTCATACGCACGCCGTTCTATTTCGGTTGGTCCCATACAAGTTGTATGTGCATGAGAAATTTTTGACAGTAAATTGGCTGCGTGCGTGAATATTAGGTTAGCCTGTAAACACACAAAAAATTAATAATAAAATTTGAAGGATTTTAGACACTGCGTATCATGACACAAAAAAGAAGTTAGTTTCAATAAACAACTTTTGACAGATAATAAAATTTTTTGAAGTTTCATAAATTGTGAGTATTATCAACGGCCTTGCCTCTTTGATAATATTAAGGCACTAAATCGGAGAATTTTCTTTCGCATATTTATACCAATGTAATAATATTTCGAATCAAAAACCATTATCAGTGCTTGGTAACTTTTTACTTACGCACTATTTTTATTAAAACTATATAAAATATAAACTATTAAATAAGACTTCATCGTAATTGTTCGTTTTATTTTATAATAAAAACCACGCGCGCATTAATTTGTTATTTTTTCGTTTTCTTATTTTGAATGCAATCTTGCTATTTAAAAATCGAATTCTAAAGAAAGTACTTCCGAAATAAAACCTTTTTATATTTTGGTTCAAATTTAGTTTTAAATATCTCATCAGATTTTGAAAAAAAATTTGGCTTTGTGATTAGCGTAATGCCATTAACTTTCACAAATTTTAAATTTAAAATGCAAATCCGCGTATCAAGATAATGCAAACCCGCGTATGTGAGGTTGCATAAGTTATTTTTTAGAGAGTAAAAACACTCATATTTAAAAATGGTTCTCTTTTTTACAAAGAAATCGCATTTCAGGACGAATGGATAAGGTTTGAGCCAAGAGCTTGTATGAGCAAATCCAATTTTTGGCAAAAAATGTCAGTTACGCGGTTTTGCACAACGACGATACGCGGTTTGGTACTTTAAACGACAATATGTAAGTATACACTTTCTTCATGCGTTCTGAAACCTAGTCGTCAATCCCATTTTCGAAATTATGTAGCCGGCATAATTTTCAAGTCCATAAAATAAAATCTTCTGCTTAAAAAAAATATGTCTTCTAGTGATCAGGTAGCATGAATTTGATGAAATGTCATAATTTTATTAAAAGTCAAATGGTTAACAACAACAACGAATGTCATTAAATGAAACTACCTTCTTGTTTGTATCATGCTGCTTATGGTAGCATGAAATGTCACAATCTGCTTAATTGTCAAGTTGTTTTTTGTATCACGGAAACACATAGCAACTGATTTCATACTTACAGTGGGATAAACTTCAAGACCTCAAATAAAAATTAGATAAATTTAGTTATGATTATTTTAGTAACCAATTTTAAATTTTCGTTTGGAATAATTTTATAAACTAATCTATTAAGAGATATTTTTTGAATATTACCGTACATCCGATATCTATTAAAATTTTGACATCCCCACTTCTTGAAAAAGAAGTTCAAGATACAAGTTTATGATCAAAAAATAATTTAAACTCTAAAAGTCTCCTATTATGTATTGAAATTAAATTTTAGACATTTTTATATTATGTAGATTTAAGCTAAAGACGAATATGGGAAGTTTTGTCTACCACAAAAGCAGAATTTTGAAATACGAAAATGCGTAAAGTAGATTTTTGTGAAACATAATTTCAAAATATGGGACTTTCGACATCAGAATTCTGTAAAAGAATTGAAAAGAAACCGAATTTTGCTCGAGAAGGATTTTTTTTTTATTTTTCAGAATTTTGCGATGTTGAATTTTTAAGTGCAGCGTAATGAGACGCTCCCTTGTTATACAGTAAGGCGGGTCACGAAAAAAAGTTTAGCCTGTGTCGGTTTTGTTTGAACACTTATGTATGTCAAACAGTGGTAATTGCCTATTGCATCGCATTTCTCTTTCGAATCGTATTACAGAGCAGCCTCTTAGATTTTTTTTGGAAAATATAAAGTTAGATTCCACGTACATATCGTCGTTTAAATTACAAAAACCGCATATCAACAAAATGCAAAACCGCGTATCAAGATAATGCAAAACCGCGTATGTGAGGTTGCATAAATTATTTTCTAGAAAGTAACGCGGTTTTGTACTTTAAACGACGATATGTATGTATGTATCAGTCTTCGAATCCACTTTATTTAATATATTAGTATTTGGCCGACTACGAACGGTGATTGTATTTTTAGAAGCTGTTTTCCATAGCTGAATACACTCGGTGGTTTGCCATAGCCTGACGAGGGGTGACCGCTATTAGACAACTTTTTCCTATCTAGTACATATCTGTGTATGGAATAGTAGCTTATATCGAGAAGCTGGCTTAGTATAATGCGGCATTCCTTTTATCCTTTAAACGACAAGAAATTTTTTTATGAGACTTAACTATTGACTTGCTAGTATCGGAACTATTTTGTGCACGTTAATTTGCCAAATTCTTCAACGGTACGGTGCCAGTGAGTCATTCGCAATCGAATGCTACGAATGCCGCATTATAATAAAGCCAGCCTTTCGACATAAGCTACTATTCCATATATGAACACAGATACATATCGTCGCCTGGGTAAAAGATTGAAATTGAATTGAATTGAAAGATTGAAAAGAAAGGTTGTGGGAAATCGCGATTGAAGTTTGGAATGCAATTTATCAAAAACGCGAAGATAGATATTCTCCAAAGTCTCTGAAAATGTTACTAGTTCACAAAATTCTTAAATTATTTAATTTTTTATGTTTAATGTTAATTAGCTTTGAGTTTATGAAGGATTTTCTTTAGTAAAATTTTGTCGTAAGCCACTTGTGGCAGCCACTTTATATGAAATACGACAAAATGTGATCAAAATTTCTACTAAATTAACGACACTTTTTACTCAATATCTCGGAAACTAAAGGAGATATCCAAAAATGGAGAACGTCGTTTTTAAGATATTGATTAGTTTAATATGGCTGCATCACTAACTAAATTTTTACTAAATTATAGAAAAAATTGTAGTCAATATCTCGGAAACTAAAGGAGATATCTGAAAACTGATAACACCAATCGAAAGACCTTATTTCAAAATATATAACTGCATCTATAACTAAAAATCGTCAAAATTGCGCTTACGACAATCTTTTACCCAGGCGACGATATGTATATAAAAATGGAGCAACTTATTACGTCACAATATTTTTATTTATTTATTATCTTAAATTTCCAATTTTGAGAAGTGGAGAATATCAAAATTTAATTTTGTTATCAATAGATTTGATAACGATTTTTTTTGACAATTTTGTACAGTGTGATTTAAGTATTATTATTATCTTCTTTTTGGTTGTATTATAATTATAGCGTAATTCCTCGGAAACGCGAAAAAACATCTTTCATACAACGACCTAAAAATTTTTCAGGTTAAGCTGTTGTGAGTGATCGCGAATGGACCACCCGCACCGTTTATCTCATTTATTTAGGTGCACACAGAAAACTCCTACAAAATATGTAAAATTGAAGAACGTATGTACGTATTTACGAAATATGTATCTGGTGTTCAGGTAAATCCCAACTAAACCACACAACTCCGCAGTTTGAAGAAAAAATCATTACCTGTTACAATACTAAAACGAACGAAATCCTGTGCTCTATTTCCGTAAATATTTCTAAAGCATACTAATTATTAGTAGAAAATAAACTAAATTTAGGTAGAACGCTGCTGCAATACTTCAGGCTAAAAAGGCTCACAAGTAAATTTTTTTCATCTTTGCAAGGTCGTAGTAAAACTAACGCTTAGTTATTATTTAATTATTGCTGCAAAATTTTTGCTCATTCTGCGCTACTGTTCAGTAAAAGCAAAAACAGACGGCAGCGTTGATCCGGATCAACGCGGGAATTAACTGCAGTTGATCTGGATTTGGTCCGCGTTAATCCGAATCAACGCTGCCGTCTGTTTAAGCTTTAAATAACGTATACATATCGCACACCGTTTTCAAAAGTCACAACTCAAAATTTGGCATTTTTGAGATAATGCGCTAAAAATGTACACAGAGCTTTTATTTAACTTTCAGCAAAAGCTGGAGCAAATTTTTGTTATAATCTGTTAAAAAAAAACCTAAAGTAGTCGCCTTTACCGATGTTTCTGTTATTTTTTTTCTGAAAAACTTGACACCCTGGAAAAAGATAACTCACCCTTTTTCGATTTAAACGCTGCTCTAGGCGGTTATCTCCACTTTTCTTTTCATTCTTCAAGAGAAACCTCATTGCTTCAAAATAATAAAGCTGCGATTTCATATTTGGTGATAGTTGTTTCGACTCCCGTCGAAAAGTAGCCCGTAGTTTAAATATTTTCTGTCTCACATCATCTTTTGTGGCATTAGGATACCTCTCTCTATATTTGGCAAGCAAGCTATCATATTGTTGACTTCTTATCAATCTGTCGGTATAAGCAGGACATTTTGAATCCCATAACGCTCCTAATGAATGATAGACTTCAATAAGTTCGATGATGAACGTTCGGTGTTCATTATTTTCAATCAATTTTTTTTCTCTGTTACATTTTGATAATCTAGTTTCATCTTCTGAATCTATTATGTCACTTTCCACTTCGGGTTCGCTCTCATATTTGAACTTTTCTGATACGACAGGAGCTTTAGCGCCGTGCGAGTGTTGCTACAATAAAATTGAATTATGAATTAAATTAGTTTTACTTTACTGTAAATGAGATTTACACTTTCTTTGTTATCTTCGCTTATGTACTCCTTATTCGAAATAACTTCTTTGGGCTCTACGGAATTGTTATTTTCGTTTGTATCCACTTCAATTTCAACTCTTTCAAAGTCCCTTAAAACATAGTCCGTGTCCTCTGTCTGTAAAATTTGAGCTTGCTATCACAGTCTCGAAACTAATTATTGCTTATGTACCTTTCCACATTCCGGATTAGCTTCTATTTCCATTTCATCGTCTACTAGATTTTGAAGAATTTCTTTAGAGTCCTCTTCGAAATTTGGATAGTGTTCTCTCGGGCTTTGATCAAAATTTTTTAGAGTTATTTCAGGGAGATGATCTTCGTACATATGTTGCATGAAATTCTCTAATTCCAGAAATGAATAGTCACAAAACTCGCAGTTCAAGTAAAACTCTTTCTTCCCCAATGACAACATTGTGGTAATTTCGCCACATTTTTTTAGACCTTCACATTCAATTACTTTCTTTTCGAAACCCAATGCCATTTTGAGCTCTTAATTTTGAAACTTACAGCAAAATCGTCATAAAAACCCTATTTGAATAGCATTAATGGAACACACAATAAATCACCGTGTATTAAATAGAACAATTGTTTTTATTCATTAAAAATGGTCCACACATATCGATCAATGCGTTTGTTTAAATTTAATCGATATCTTTTATACGTCAAGAGCGGAATAGACGACTCAATTGACTGGACAAATTTACACGGAGGTTACAGGTATCAAGAACATCAAAGCAAGTCGCACGCACAATTTAACAACTTGAACGTCGACTTGATAGCAATTTTTCCTTTCGATTGGGCTATTTCACACTAGAATGACAGAACAATTATTCTCACGGTTTCACACCGGATGAAAATTAGCAGAATAAAATGAGTATACGTACAGGACGTTTGAATGTATTTGTAAGTTCTGCGCTTGAAAGTTGCGTAGCGGCATTTTCGTAGTTGCGTATGTGTTAGTGCGCTGCAGCAGAACTACAACTTTAATGCGGGGTAGAAGCTGGAACAACTTTTTTAGAAACTTTACCTCACCGCACTGCCTCTCTTGCCTACAAACAGAGTTGTTCTGGTGGCAGAAATGTTCCAGTGTGAAACCCACCATTCGTGAGACAACTTGAAAGTCAAGTCGAACAGCCGTTAGTCTGTTCCAGTACCACAAAAGGAAACTATCCTTAAATTCGGTCCAAATTTGAAAAAAAAAATAAAAATGAGGTCCTATAGAGAAGCTATTTACGATTATAAAAGTAAAAACCGCAGAACGCGGAGGCTCTTACATAAAATGATATTAACTTTTAAAGATGCACAATTCACCATACAAATTTCATTGATCACATGGAAGTGGTGGAAATGAACACAGATATTGGTGCTGCCAGATGATGAGAATAATAAAAAAATGGGGGGGTTTGCATTCACCTTATATTGAAATACTGTTTTATATAAAAAAAAGCGACGCAGGCGAAGTATTGATTTTAATAAAAATTTTCATTTTTCGAATTTTAGATTTTTATAAGCGCCGCAGGCGAAAACATCATTATTTATTTATCGAAGTATCGTTTTTTTTTAAGCGTCGCAGACGAGAATTTATAATAAAAATTCGCGTGCTTTTTTATAAAATTTTTTATTATTTATCGAAGTATTGATTTTTTTGAAAAAAGCACCGCAGGCGAAAATTTTTAATAAAATAATGCGCAATTTTTTTTAAATTTTGTATTATTTATCGCAGTATTGATTTTTTCCAAAAACAGGCGAGTTTTTATAAAAAATATTAATTATCGAAAAAGCGCCGCAGGTGAATCCGCACTTCGGGATTATAACCCTCACTAAGTAGAATTCTACTTGGTTTTGCGAAGAAAAGGGGCTGAACACCTTTTGTAGAGAACACCTTTCCGCGTAGGCGTCCTCGGGCCGCGCCTAGGGATTATAACCCTCACAAAGTAGAATTCTCTTTCCGTTTTGCGAAGAAAAGGGGCTGAACACCTTTTGCAGAGAAGACTTTTCTGCGTAGGCAGTTTTCGGCCGCGCTTAGGGTTTATGACCCTCACAAAGTAGAATTATCTTTCTGTTTTGCGAAGAAAAGGGGGCTGAACACCTTTTGCAGAGAACACCTTTCTGCGTAGATTAAAAACCCCCGAAAATTATTGTCATTAAACGATTCCTTAATGCAACACTGTGTCTAACTCTTAAGTATTCTGTGAACCTTGTAATTTTTGTTATGTGGCAACTTTGTGAACCACGATTCCTTTTCAAATTGGCATTCGTTGATTCAAAGCCGATAGAGACGGATCCGCGGTAAGTGAATTCTAGAAAACTGATGTGAAATTATTCTGTATCCTTAATAAATATATGTCATTTGTTCTTACACAGAAATAAACAATAGGGCTATTCGCGATTCGGTGCATAAGAGCTGACAAATTTATGCAATTGCAGAAATATGCCATGGATTGTGAGCGACCTTTATTAAACTGTCATGGCAAAGCTTTTGCAAAACAATTTTTGTGCATCAGCTTTGGTTTTGTTTATGAATGCAATGCATAGCATTTTTATGCTATGGATTTTCGGTATTGCAAATTTGCCAAGCCATGACAAATGCAAATGCGTGTATTTTGTTTGTGTATTGCAAATAATTTGCAATGCAATGATGCTAGGCCATTTGCACCGGATCGCGAATAGCCCTAATATAAATCCACGCAATGCGATGCAATGCAAAACAAATGTGTGAGTTTAATTTTTGCAGTCTCTGAAGAATCAACAATTATATATAAACATCATCACTCCAACATTAAGTGCTCCTTTTAAAATGAAACTTTGCTAGTGAAACTGCAAAGAATTTACCAACAAATTAGTTAAATACTATTACTAATCAAGTGAAAATAGTGATATGTAATGTAAACATATACGATTCCTAACATCCCCGCTAAGTTTCATGACGAAATTCGTGATAGTTTTGTGAAAACATCCAAAAACCGATGTAATGGAAAGCCAACCCCTCCAAAATTCAGTTAACAATAGACGGGAAGATAATACGGCTGGTATTATAAATGTGTGTACGAGGCGAAAATTTTAAGTTGTTTCCTTAATGACGGCATCTTGGAACTAACATTGACTATCAAATTTCGTGCGGCCTGGGTCACAGCTGTCAATTGAATTGAATTTTGACAAGCAGCATGTGTGATCATCTTGACAACAACTTTGTGATCGTGTTACTTCACTGGCGTAAAAAACAAAACCGAAATAGCAAACCGGTTTGGTAGTAGGTGCGCACTTAGGTGGTCCAAAATAAGTAAAGTCACAATTTCAAAGCTCTCACCCCCTGGGATTGTTCTATATAGAAAAAAATATACCCTTATTTTTTATTTTGAAACCAAAAACTATTTAGAGGCCGCTCAAAGCGCTCAAAGTTGTACATGATTTTTATATGAAAAAGACAACGTTTCATAGAAATGGTATAGACTTCTTGAAAATTAATAGGGCTGATTTTTCCATCGGAAAACTCTGGTTCTCTTCAAAAGACTTCCAATAACAATATCCGCTTGTTTATTTAACCATTTTTTAGTACTAAAGAGTTTTCACTTATCCCCCATTGCATTTTCAGGCATTTTCTGAGAGTTTTGGAGGATCTTTAAAATAATTACTATGAAAACATTGTGAAATAAATAATCCAATTGAATAAATTTCAGGCGTGTGTGAATCGGTAACAAAGTTTTGTGGGGAAAGCTGTGTAATACGCTCTCATCAGTTGCTCAATTAAAACTGGCGCTTTATTTTATGTATCTCGTACCGGAATCAATACAAACTAACACTAAGGGCCTGTGCCAATCGGTAACTTTTTTCTCCGTGATGAGACGGGGTGGAAAAAATTTGCTATGGTGCAGTACAAATAAATTGAATTTTGCTACGCCAAATGCAAAGTAAAATTTTGACAGTTGAAAAACCAAACAAGCGCTCGTGCGAAAGCTTTATTGTTGTGGGTTGCTGAAATTCTTAAAATTTATATTTATTTTATAATTTGCAAGTAACGTACGCTTTTTTATGCTGTTTCAGCATTCATTTTCATGTTTCATGTTTCATGGTTTATTACCGCCAAGCAATATTATGTGTATACATGGTTGTAAGCCGTCAAAATTTTACCTAGCCCCATGAGCTAGGTAAAATTCTGACGTTCGTATTCACACGAGAAATGTCAGATTTTTACTTTGATCCGTCAAAGTTTCCTTTTTTCTATCATTTGGAACAGGCCCTAAAACTTAAGGCCTAAAAACTTAAACAGAGTTGTATCTTAAGGTAGTTATTACAGAGGTTCATGTGTAAGTAGTAAACTTAGAAGTTAATATAATGCAGTACATACACTTATACTAGATATTATTGCTACAGATGGTGAATATTTTTTTTACTATGGTGAGACAATTTTGCCAATCGGCTGTGTGAAATGAAATCTTTTTTGGTAGCAGTAAATTTTGGACAACCGCAGATTTAGGCGGAAAAAATATTATAAATTGTAGTGAAATTAATATTTTAATAAAACATCAACCATCATTGATTGTAATTTATCAATTTAAGCATTTAATCAATTTAATTTTAATCAATTAAAGCATTTAAAGCATTAAAAAAATTTATTTTAATTTTTTTACATTTCGTTACCGTGTTGTTTTTGCTTAAATTTGGGGCAGAAAAATTATACACATCAACAATCTTTGCGATTGTCAAGGTTTTGTATGCATTTGGAATTTTATTCACCTCATAATAATAATAGATTGGCGCTTACACATATGTTAGTGTTTGGCCGAGCTTCTCCTCCGAATTGTGGCGTGCGCCTTGATGTTGTCACACAAAGCGGAGGGACCTAGCAAGAATGTAACCAGGGGATGCAAGAAATGTCAACGAAAACACTAACAGCTGGTGTGAACAGCCTTCAGCCCACAATCCCAAAACTCGTTTTCAAAGTGTTTTCGTTGTCGGTCAGAACACGGTATTATATCATGTTCTGACCGACAACGAAAACACTATGAAAGCGAGTTTTGGGATTGTGGGCTGAACGCTGTTCACACTGGTTATTAGTGTTTTCGTTGACATTTCTTACATCTTTTGATAACAGCTTCGCTACACAAAAACCAAACCAAAACACTTTTCCTTCATTTTATTTTCATTTACAACCTTTAACTTTCATTCTTATTTTACTTTGGCCAGTCAATTAACAATAAATCCGAAATGGCGTATTAAAGATGAAAAAATTTAAGACACCGATTGGAATGATTGAAACGTGAGTTTTAGCAGAGCTCTCATATACCTGTGCTCACACTCATGGCAACTCTAGGAGGTTCTTCCATCTATCGTAAATTCTCTCATTCTCCCGCTGTTCGCAGTATTCTTCATACCTTTCCACTGACACCCTTTCAGTCTAAATCAGAAGAGTTTAGGCTCAGTTATTCAAGTTTTTCTTATAGCAATAATATAAGAGATTTTATAATTCCAATGGAAAAATACTTAAAGTAAAAAAAGAAAAAACACTTCATAAAAAATAAATAAAAATTCAAAAGAAATAAATTACATATTTGAAGTTAATTCTTTCTCCAATAA